TCCATCTCCCTCTCCTCTTCCTTCCTTATCTGTTCCTGTCTCCTACGTCTCCTCTTCTCCCCCCTTCCCCTCCTCCTCCAGTTAGTGTACTCCAGACTCGTATGTCACTGATGCCTGGAGCAAGTCGGCTCCATCAAAGTGTCGTAATTCACTCCCTCCCTTCCTTCCTTCCTTCCTTCCTTCCTTCCTTCCTTCCTTCCTTCCTTCCTTCCTTCCGTCTTTCCGTCTTGCAGTCCTCTCCACATCCTCCGCCCTCGTTCCACTTCTTCCATCTCTTGTCGATCTTCACCTTCTCCCCTTTCCCTATCTTCTCTCTCTCTCTCTCTCTCTCTCTCTCTCTCTCTCTCTCTCTCTCTCTCTCTCTCTCTCTTCCTTTACTTTTGTTTATTCCTGGACTTATTTTTGTGTTATTTTAATTCCCCCTTATTGCTTCCTTCCTTATTATTGTTCCACCCTTCTGTCTGTCCCCTTCATACTGCGTTTATCTTCTTTCTTCCTTCCTTTCTTTCTTCATTTCACTTATTATTACTTGTTTACTTCTCTACGTCTCCATCGTTGCATTATTTCCTTCGTATTCTTCCTTCATTTTGCGTCTTCCTCTGTTTCTTCATCATTCTCTTTCCTCCTTTGTTTTTCTTCTCCAGTTCCTTGTTTATTTTTTCCTTTTCTTCTAACTTAGGCTAACGTTCGGGCGTTGTCTACACGATAACTTGACAAAAAAAACACAACCTAACCTAACCAGCTTCTGTTGGTAGATTAATGACAACCAGTTCAATAATTAGTCATTTTTCTCGTTATTCAGCTGAGTTATGGGTCTTTGAGGTTTGTTATAGCGGGGTTGGTTGGGAGGGGGGTGGGGAGGAAGAAGGAGGGGAAGGTAGGAAGGGAAGGGGAGGAGGAGGCAGGAAGGAAGGGAGGAAGGGAGGGGAGAGGTAGGAGGGGAAACACACATTTCTGTTGATATTGTTTCGTCTGTAATGTCTGTGTGTGTGTGTGTGTGTGTGTGTGTGTGTGTGTGTGTGTGTGTGTGTGTGTGTGTGTGTGTGTGTGTGTGTGTCCCTCCCTCCTTCCCTCAGGTATGGCGCCCTTGGTGGCAGGTGTCTGAAGGGTGTAGGGACTCGCCCCCCTACCCTTCATGTTTACACTGTCAGCTGATGCCAACTTGTCCAAACATGTGGCAGGCGTGACTGTCTGACTGGGAAGATGAAGGGGGAGGGTGGGGGGTTAGTAGTAGACTGGACAGGTAATCACTGTAATTAGACTTTGAAAGGTGGTGGACGGGACAGGTAAACACTCTAATTAGGCTTTGAAATTAAAGCTTAAATGTCTCGGTGATAGTAATAAGATTCATATGGTTAGGTTAGGTAAGTGTCGGGTGTTGCTCTTCGTGACTAGAATAATCAGCTGGTGTCGGCAAGGTTCCCACACTCCCCACCACTAGTGAATGTTAGTGGTTTGTTGACGGTGAAGGAGGCGTTGAAATGTCCATCATAACAGAACATCCTGAAGCCCTTATATTCTACTTGTTGTTACCACTACAGGGCCTTGTTCAGGGGGTTTCTGTACAGGGGGAAGGGGGAAGGGGGAAAGCTAAGTATGAACTCACCCCTTTGGATCGTCACGTAGTAGGGGGGGGAGTGTATGCACAGCCTCAACACATCCCAGAAGCACATTGTTGAGTGAGTGATGTTGTCCATGAGTACCAGGACCTACACATACTACCCCGCCCCGCCTCGCCCCGCCCCGCCCCGACCCGGTAAGGTGATCGTCTGGCCGTCAGTCATGGGTAGACGTGTGTGTTTACCTGAAGCAGTACCTGTGGCTTCTGTGGGTATGTTTATTCCTCCTCCTTCTCTTCGTTTTCCTCTTCCTCTTTTTATGCTTCTTTTTCTTCTTGCTCTTCCTCTTTGTCCTCTTCTCCCCTTCCTATTCTTCCACCACCTCTTTCTCCCTCCTCCTCCTATTCCTCTATTTCCTCCACCTCCTCATCTTCCTTCTCCTCCTCCCAACGCTCCCACACCTCACCCACTCCTTTCAGCATCAAAACAATGAGAAGGTTTCACAGCTTCTCAGGTTAAGGTACACTGCCATAAGCTAACAGCCACGAGGGTAATGACTAAAAGCTTCCTCAGGTTAAGAAAGAAAAGCCATTAACACACACATACACTCACATGCGTCTTGTCAAGCAATATATTGAATGACGTGTGGAGTTGACTTGCGTTGCTGTGACCCGTAGACCGTCTGGGGATTCTTAGTGTTCAGTCATATTTAGAGAGAGACCGAGGTACAGAAACCAATTCCGAGTTCTGGGTTCACTCAGTCCAGGGGAGGGAGATGGGAGACGACCTTTAATTCAAGTCTACGGTGTTTGGATTCCTCGTCTCAAATACTCGGTGTTAAGTCCGTCACAGTAACAAGAATCTAGTCATTTAGTTCCTCTTCTCATTCTCTTCCGGTGGGGTTTACTTTTTCTAAGTATTTTTTTATGTATGAGTTTGTTTTTCATTTATTTTCATTATTATTTTGATTGTTTTCCAGTTTCTTGTAGATTTTCTTTATAATTTGTTTATTTTTTCTTCTGCATTATCCTTTATCGTAAGTTCTCATCATTCAATCTATTTTCTCCTCTTTCTTTGCTTCTATCGTCTATTTTCCAGTTATTTTTATTTTATTTTATGTTGTGGAAGCTTTGGTAGGAGGAAGAGGCAGGGGAGGGGGAGAAGGGGGGTTGTAACTCAGCCAATTATGTGGTCTGTTTACCTGGGTCCAGCCAATCACCTCGCCGCGTTGAGCTTCAGTTTCTGTCCCCGGCCGCCAGGTGGTGAACCGGCCTGAAGATACGGAGGATGGATTCATTGTTGACACAGTGGCGGTCTTATTGACGTCATGACTGCTGATGTTGACGTCATGATGGCTTAGTTGACGTATTGTTGTGATGTCATACTAACGTTCTTGTGTTTGCATTCATTGATGAGCGGCGGCAGCATAGTTACTGAATGATAACCCCTTTTTCGCGCGTATTTTTGTCTTGTCCTGTTGATCATTTTACCCTGGCTAGTGTGGTGTTTTATCTTCATCAACGCTGTCTGGTGGTGGAGTCTGAACGTTTGTCGTGGCTAAGCAGTGATGGTGAGGAGGTGGTGTTGCAAGGATGGTGTAGGAGAGGTAGAAGCAGCGTGATGGTGGTGATGGTGTTGTGATGGAGAGAGAGAAACAGCGTGGTGGTAGCGTATTACAAGACAATATAGATGAAACAGAAGAGATGGGCTGAGGGACAGATGTACAGCAACTCTGGAGGACGAAACTGTACACCCACGAACACCATTGATCTCTGTGCCACCTCGCCACAACCCATTGTCTCATAAGAGTGCATTGTCCGTGTGTCCTGGAGTACATTGATCTGTCTGTCGGTGTGATTGATGCCTCGGTATATCCCATGACATGTACACGGTAACGTCTCCTGCCTGGTCGGGGGCTGAGCAGAACGATGTGTTATTTGTTTGGGAATCGACGCGTTGCTTGTGAGTGGATGAGTGAGTGAGTGAGTGAGTGGATGGATGAGTGGGTGGATGGATGAGTGGGTGGGTGGGTGGATGGATGAGTGGGTGGATGGGTGGATGGATGGATTTATCCCTTTTCTGTCTTGCTTTCTCCTTCTCTTCTTCAATTGCCTTTCCTCTTGGTTAACGCTAAGTGAAATTAGGTTAGGTTTGTTTAAGTTATAGGTTAAGTTGTAAGCATAAGTTTGATTAGGTTAGGTCAGGTCAGGTCGGCGAAAACTGGTCTCGCTTTCCCGACAGTATATAGAGGTTAATACGGGGGTGCTTGTACATGGCCTCCTTTAGGACCTTAAGAGTTTATTGAAGGGCGAGTGTCAACCCTTAATCCCTCCCTCCCCCTCCCCCCCTCTCCCTCCCTTACGCCTGGCGTCCCCGTGCTGGTCTCTGGGTCCGTCGGCATTTGTTATGATGTGAGAAAGTTGCTCTGTGTTATTGTTTTCGTAGAGGTTGTTGTGTGGGATGTTATTGGCACTTTGACATACTCTTGGTTCTGTCCAGTACTTGGTTCACCCTGTTTTCCTTTCACTTGTTTTTAATTCCTCTCTCTCTCTCTCTCTCTCTGTTTCTCCTGTTTCTCGCTCCCTCTCCCTCCCATCTGCTCTTCACGACCTCTTTCATTACTTACCAGCTTCATCAATTCTTCTCAACTTCATTGTTTCTCTTCCTCTTCTCGTCATCTTCCAGTTACCGCTCTTTCCTTCGTTATCCTTCTTTCCTTCCCTCCCTTCTTCCTTCCCGCCTTCCCTTCCTACCCTCTCTCCTTCCCGCCCTCTCTCCTACCCGCCCTTCCTCCTACCCGCCCTTCTTCCTTCCCACCCCCTCTCCTTTCCGCCCTTCTTCCTTCCCTCCTCTCCTTCCCGCCGTCCCTTCTCTCTTCTTCACGCTCTTCTTCCTTCCCACACAACTTCTCCTGCTTTCCCTTTCTCACTCTCCCCTCTTTCTATCTCCATTTTATTATCTCCTTTCTCCATCCCCTCTCACCTACACGACAGTCACCAGGAAGCTACAAACTTGACGACTTAGGGGGGCCGGTTGGGTCTGTTTTTGTCGCCATTAACGACGTTCAGTTGGACAAGAGCGGTGAGGTGTAATGAGTAGAGATATGACTGGGAAGTAAATGGTTGTGGTGGGAAGATGGTGTTGCTTTTGTGGGTGGTGGTGGTGATGCTTTTGTGGGTGGTGGTGGTGATGCTTTTGTGGGTGGTGGTGGTGATGCTTTTGTGGGTGTTGATGGTGGAAACTAAAGTGTGTTGTTTACCATGGCACAGATCTTTAGGTCCCCATAGTACCATTTACAGTCGCCTTCTTTACACACACACACACACACACACACACACACTGTCTCTCTCTGTAAAAAAGAATAAATACAAAAAAATATATTAATTTTGAGAATTAAATAGTGTAAGATTTTGTAAAAGTATTTGTGTTGATAATTCTATTGACGTGTGATGTTTCGTGTTGCAGGGAAGCGTCTCAAGATGTGCAGCGGGGAGACCACCTGCTGTACACAGATGATGGAAAGTAAACTGAGTGTGGAGAGTCGACAGGAGTTTGACACCAACCTCAAGAACCTGCTCAATCCTATGGCCATACTCCTGGCTAAGAAGAATGTTAAACTAAATGGTAAGTTGCTGCTCTATACCTAATTCTAACGTTTCTTTTATTACTCAACATTATCCCACTTCTCTGATGCCTAGATAATACTCCTTTATGGATGATACAAGGAATCTGTGAAAGTAAATAATGTAGCATAATTTGAGTTATTAATAAAGTCTTGCCTATCTTTTTGTTTAATCAGTTGTGAGGTACTGTACTTGTTGACGGAGTGCCTGAACTAAGATCTTATAAAGTGTACCATTATCTAGAACTTAGGTTTAGAAAGTAAGTGTGTTGGTTTATGATAGCGATCACTCTAGCGTGTAGCGTGTATATTTACAAGATGGCGGACCGTGCAAATGATTGCGGGAGTTGTGATGGGAATGCAAACTAAGAATTGAAAAATTGAAAGTGGGCCCCAGAGGCATGAGTGCGCATTATGGACAGTGTGGATACAGCACACTTCGGTACACCAGGAGGTAGCATGTCCGGTACTATTCTTGGTCGCATTCACTTCCCCAAGTTGTGAAATTGGGTAATCATTTAAAGCTGGGTGAACTGGGAGTGCCTGGGGATTGAACCACTGACCCCTGGAACAGGAGACAAAAATATAACATGTGGGGGTATCACTTAAAATACTGTATGGTTAAATATAATCAGTTTTGTTTAATATTATTTCCATAGCGTTAAGCTTACCGGGTAATGGTAACTATAATCCATTCGTGTGTGAAGTGTGCAACATTTCTAATTAAAAAAAAAAAAAAAAAAAAAAAAATTGTCACTGTAGATTCTTGATGCTGGAATTAAGGTATGAGTACAGTACATTTCATTTACAGTATCCTCAAGTAAGACCACAACATTTTTGCACTGGTTCATGTAAGTAAGTTTCTTTTTTCTTTAACAGAGGTGTTTGGTAAGCTGCTAAATAACAGCAGGAAAAACTTCGACAATATGTTCAGCAGGACATATGGAATTATTTATCAACAAAATGCTTTTGTTTTCACAAAACTTTATGACGATCTCGAGAAATACTTCAGCTTGGGTGAACTCGACCTTCAAGAAACAATGGATGACTTCTTCGAACGACTTTACCAGCGTATGTTTACTGTCTACAATTCACAATACACCTTTAGTTCAAGGTAAGTTACTAGAGCTTCGTGGTTTAAACTTATTTACAATATTTAGCTACCTGCAGTACCTACAGCTTGGTGCATCAGAGAAATAGTCATGCTTTGATTTCACTACTGTAACTGTACTGTACAGTATTGGTGAAATTGAAAGTTTGTTTAGCTAGAACAATACAGATACTGTACTGTACAAAGTGAACAATATGGACATGGCTGAGTACAGTACAAAGAACCATGGTAGGTAATATGAATGCAGTACAGTACTCTGATGATGTTGAAAAGTTAAAGGCTGTTATATTAATAATAATACAGTATTTCTTTAGTAAAATCATAATACAAATTTACACTTGGTTTATATGTACAGTATACTGTATATATAGACTATACAAGCACTGTAAAGTTGTCATACTGGTTTGCAATTGGATAAACCTGTTTAGAAACTACAGTATGCAGTTAATTACACAGTTCTGCATGAATGCCCTTTATAGACAATGTAGGAACAGTACTGTATACGGTGCAGGTAAACAACAATGGCTGACAAAGCTGTCAGATGCTTATTATTAACATCATTGGTTTACTTAAGTTTATTAACATTTATGGCAATTTTTCAGATATTTACGATGTGTGACCCGTCACATGGAGCAACTTAAACCATTTGGTGATGTTCCAAAGAAGTTGACAACTCAAATCAAACGAAGTTTTGTAGCCCTTCGAACATTTGCTCAGGGGCTTGCAACAGGACGTGATGTAGTGAAAAATGTCCTCAAGGTACAGTACACATTATTAATATTTACTGTTTGAGTTCTTTTAGAAGTACAGTACAGTATAATGTACAAGTATTAATATTTTAAATTTTGCATATTAAAGCAATATAAACCCTGTATTATGAGGTAAAATATGAAGAACTCTCTCTGTTGACTATCAAGTAAGTGTTTACGGCTTCTGCTGATAACACTGAGAAGTATCGGAGATTGTATGAGATGGGAGAAGGTTCCATCCGTATATACAGTACAGTAGTATACAAACAATAATGAAGCAGAACAAACAAAATACAGTCAAATTTCTATTATCTGACATCGTTTACATCTGCTAATGCATATTTTCACTGTTTATTTATGCACATAACTGTACAGTTTTAGGTGTAAGATTTATGATAATGGAGTTAAAGCTAAGCCGGGGGAGACAAGTTATTAAATATGCTCTTAGTATTAAGGTGTGTGATACAGTAGTGGATTATGCCAATGTAATGTTGAATTTAGTGTTCAATATTGTTTATAGTTTGTGAACTGTAAGGCATACAGCTGACAAATTTCTATACTGTATTATAAAATTTTGTGCCTCTTTATAACGCAGGTGAACCCAAGTGTTAGTTGTGTTCACGAGCTGATGAGGATGACTCACTGTGCAACTTGTGAAGGTCACCAGGGGGTGGTTCCTTGCCTGTCATACTGCCAAGATGTTATCAACCTCTGCTTATCTCACCACCAGCACATCATATCACACTGGATTGCTTATGTTGGTATGTATTGACGGCTTATTCATTCTCATCCAGGTATTGTAAAGGTTATTATTTTTGTTAAGTTTACTTTTAATCGTTAATCTTCATTGAAAGATGTTATAAAATTAGTCCGTATCTTTTGATGTACTGTATATTATTCATGGGACGAGCTATTGCCGTACATCACTTGCCTGTTAGTGAATTAAATATATCCAGATGTCATTCAGCATTCAGGCTTTTATATAGTAGAATATTTATTTTAAACAATTATTGCTTATTTTCAGATGCAATGGTTAATGTGGGAGAAAGGTTAGAGAATCCATTTAACATAGAAAATGTCGTTCAGCCAGTCAACTACAAGGTGTCTGATGCTGTTATGAATTTCCAAGAAGCAGGACATGATATTTCTAACAAGGTAAGAGTTATAGTAGTTGGCCACATTAAAGTATTTTATTGGAGTTATATGCTTGTGTGGATCACCTGGTCTTAAGTAAGCCAGACAAAAATAGGTATCGGGTAATACTTAATTTAGCACCTCTCTTTATCACTGTAGGAATTAAGATTATAGATAGTTTTTTATATTTATTTTTAATTTTTATTGTATGTATTAATTGAGGAATTTACTGATTACATATTTTAAGTCTGTAAAGAAGTACTAGTGTAGACATTTGCTTTCTACCTTGAAATATTGAATTTAATCTATATCAGAGGAATTAAGTTTCTGGCTGTGTAGTTTACAATTCAGGTTCAACTTTGTACATTCCCAGGAAACTTTTCTCAATCTACAGACTTCTAAGGTGAACTAACATAACTTGTTTAAAATTGAGTCTTTTATTAAGTGGTGATGATTCTCAAAATTTATTAATTTACAAGATAATCCTTTGATAGGGTGGTGGTGGCTAAAAGTGGGATATTAAATACAGTACTGTATATATAAGTAGGTATAGCTATCACTTTGTCAGTTCATTGGTGTATTGTTCATGTTACTGAATATCTTGGTACTTCTTAGGTGTTTAACGGATGTGGGCCCCCTCGTCTAGGACGTAGCAAGAGACAAGAACCAGTGAAAGGAGAACTTTCTCAAGAATTTTTAGATTTTAGCGCCAACAATCGCCAAGAGAAGAAACGTGATAAGGAGACCGAGAACATTTCTGTCAGCAAGCATGTTCATGAAATCAAATCTAAGGTTAGTGAGGACTATATGGTCATAGTTTGTGCCACATAGCAAGTGAGAGATTACACATGTTTGTACCATGATTAAAAGAAATCTTTTATCTTTATTCCACAAGGTTAGCAACTATTTGGCTTCTTCTCTTATGGCAGCCAAGTACACATCAGCTGAAGCCAAGCTGCATGTACACTAAGTCACACTGGCTGAAGTTTAAAATTTTTATTTTATTTTAAAAACACTTAAGAGATATAGAGTATTTGGGAATACAGAGCATTTGGAGAAGTGTTACTTTACTAATATTGGGGAATATATATATATATATATATATATATATATATATATATATATATATATATATATATATATATATATATATATATATATATATATATATATATATATATATATATATATTTTATATATATATATATATATATATATATATATATATATATATATATATATATATATATATATATATATATATATATATATATATATATATATATAAAGTGTGTATTTCCATTATTGCATAGTGTTACATTAGTGCTTATTATTTTTGTGTGGTGTGTACTTGTAAGCTAGCTTTATTGATTTAGTTATCCTATTTCACCTGTTGCATATGAGGATCAATCCACCCTCTGCCAGATACATGCAGTGTTTAAAACAGCCTCACACATTACATTAACACACTGATATTACTCATGCTCTTCATAGTTACCCAGCTGTGTTGGAGCAGTTTGTTTTATCCAAATACAAAATGCTTTTGCACTGATTGCCTAACTAAACCAGTAACTTGACAGATCAAGAACGCACGTGAGTTCTGGAGTGAGTTACCAACCAAGATGTGCCGAGATGCTGCACGTGATGGTGCTATGAGCTGCTGGACGGGCACCAAGCTGGGCAAGTGCGTATACAATGTTCCCCACATCCTCAGTTCGTCGTTTTGATTTTATGGAGACCAGTCTTTTTCCTTAACATAATTTGGGTTTCCTTTATGGAGATGTAGCAGAATGGTGATAATTCAGACCAGTTGGGGGTGGGGGGCAACCGCTGCAGTTGTCATAAATTCCCGAGTATTGATCCTCGGTATGAAATATATTTTTTTGTATACTGTTTTTGTTGTTATGAATGGTTATGGTGCTGAGACATTTAAAATGTATAATTAAACAACACAAGCAGGAAAGTATAAGTAAAAATGAGAACAGTGTAATAGAGCAATGAACTAAATTTCTTTGGAATGAACCTGTTTTCCCTCTTTACCCCCCCCTCCCCCAAAGGCTGCAAAAAATCCTTAGCAGGTGTGGCTACTCAGAGTTGGACATCAAAGGTGTCTTGGGTTGGCTCAGGTATCACCTGAAGCATTTCTGTGTCAGATGTTATTGGAGTTGATATCCCAAAGGTGGAGAGGGAAATGTCACAGGAGTTCAACCTCACGCTGGTGGACCACTCACTGTCTTGATCCATGCTCTCTTCCAAGCAGGGTTAAGTGACCCACGTGCCTGTATTTAACCCCACAACTAGAGGCACCATTTCCCAGCAATGCTCCTTGTGGTTGCATGACTCCTGCACCAGGTCCCATTGTTTTATTGTCTATCCCACTTCAATGTTTTCATCCATGATAAACTTCACACTGCTTCAAGTGAAGAGTTCAAGCAGTTTTTTGCTTAAATTATGTAGAGATTTATAGTTTTTTAGGGAGGCGAGAGAGATATCAGTGTTTCAAATTAATATATATATATATATATATATATATATATATATATATATATATATATATATATATATATATATATATATATATATATATATATATATATATATATATATATATATATATATATATATATTGTAATTACATGGCTAGGATTTTTGAGTAAGTTGCATAAATGGTACTTCATTCCTGTATTTCTTTTAGGTATGAAGGGAAGAGTGGCCTGAATGTCACTGAGTCACCGCCCAGCTCTGATATGAATGAACAAATTATGCGCCTCAAAGTTATTACCAGCAAACTGCAAGAAGCCTACAAGGGTCGTGATGTCTCATGGATTGATGATGGTAAGTGATTGTTCTTTAAATATTTTGGTAAAATATGTATATTTTAAGCAGTTGCTTTATATTAAAATAATTTAGGACTAAAGTTTTGCTAAATAATACTACTAGTGACCATGAATTAGGTTAAGAACTGTCTTTTAAACAGAGGAAGATGATTAATTTTTGTTTGTCACTGAAGTTCCTTCATATATAAAAGTTTTTTCTTATCTCAAGACTTCTGCTTAGCAATTCAAGATGGCTAGAAAACAGCAAACACATGCAGTCATATGCACATGTTCCATTCATTCATTTTCTAGCTTATGTACTGTAAAATATGTATTCCACTAAGGCTCTCACCTTATACAATAAAGCTGTAAATCTGCTTTATCTATTACTTTACTCAACCCAGCATCATCCACCAGCAGCACTTAAAAATCCTTCACTTCTTTATCTTTTAATGTGTACTGTACGTACTGCTGATCAGAGTGTGATCCTCTCACTATCTAGCACCTCATTCACTACTGTACCACATCTAGAGCAAGTCATTTCTAATGCCTTTAATTTTCTCCTTCCTCTTGCATCCAGGGTACACAGTTCACACTCATATATAACAATGCCAACTCAACAACCCCTGTACTGTATATTCTCCTCAGTTCCTCCCTTGATGTAGTCCTCTATACATTTCTCAATCCTCATAACTTACTTTCTTTCCTTCTCCTGTTACTACTACTATTGTGTTTCCATTTGCCATTTAGGATTCCATTTGCTTACAAATTCACTCCCAGACATTTGAATCACTCTACCACCTCCTATCAGTTCTCATTCAAGTTAACATTGGTATCCCTATCTTTATGTGTCACTTGTCCTTTGTATGTGTAAAACTGGGTGACTAGAAACAAGCAAACAACATTTTCCCATTCTTTGTTCATTGAGCCTTACTGCTGATACATTCATTCATTCTCACTGCTCATTTCTTTTGGACTATGTTCTAATTCCTTTGTACTTCTCCATTCTTTTATCTCCCTTTATTTTAATTGGTACGCATGCATAATTTTTTTCTTTAACCCCTTCACTATGCTGATGCCACTATTAATATAGTATTTGGTTAATGCCAGGCAATTTTATTCAGCAGAGAGGGGACCCCCTTACACAAGTGATTAATTAGCACTGCCAGTCACTTAAACCTATGTTCTATCATATGTTTCTCTGCAAATATAGTGTACCCTCACATTTTGTCTGCACATTTTAGGACAGCACTCTTACAAGGCTTTCAACTCCTAATCTAGTGCCATTTAAGCAAAATCACTGTACCCCATTCATTTTTTTAAATCTATGAACTGCATTTTGCCCACAAGTCTTCAAATTTTATAACCTGTTTTCTCACTTTTTGAGTTCCTGTACTCTACTGTATATTAACACTTACCAATGAATGGTTAAATACACATTGCCAGGTCCTCATAAAAAACAACACACATATATATTCATACATACTACATATACAGGGGGTCCCCGACTTACGAACGTTCGACTTATGAACGCCTGCTGATACGAGCCGAGTTAAACTTGAAATTTACAGTATTTTATTTACTTGACTAATTTTTTTTTTTAGTTTTATTTACTTCATTTTGTCATTCTATTTCTTCTTTTCTCTTAAATTAAATGATTTTAAATGTACAGTATTCAAGGACTTAGGCTATGGTATAGTGGGATTTTAAACATTGTTGTGCAAGTATAGTATGCACATAGCCTGTGTTCTGACTTACGTAAAAATCTGACTTAAGAACGTCCTTGGGAACATTTATGTCCATATACAAATCAAGTATTTATGGTTAGTTGCATTTTTATTTAATACTGTATACAGTTTTTATACAGATGTTTTTTTGTTTTTCTTTTTTGGAATTCAAGTAGTTTTAAAACTTGTTGTCAAAGGACAGAATTTTATTACAAGATTTGCCATGAGCTGTGATGTGGCAGGTTACTGCTCCTCTCCCTGGCTTCCACCGCTGAAATACGGCACAAATACGTGTCCCAGCAAACTTTTTCTGGACAGTGGGACAGGGCATTGAAATATGGGACAATCCCCTATATACGAAACATCTGACAACCCTGCTCTTCTCATCTTGCACTTCATTCCTCTCTCGACAAGATACTCAACAACCCTCTATTTTTGCTCGTGTTATGTCTCCAGTTAGATTACTGTATACTTAAAGTTTCTCTTATTTTAACACCATACAGGTATATTTCCCCTATTGCAATCAGCTTCCAGCACAGTTTTATCAGTCTCTCTATTCAGGCATTCCTTGTACTCCACATTTACCTAAAATCTCCTCCACATTCGCCATCCAATCTTGGTTTAGAAACCTCCTGTCTCTATCGCCTGCATCTATCATTGAAGCTTGCATTTAGTGATTCAGGTATTTCATATTATTGATTTTTACGCATTTCTTTTTTTATACATAATATTTTTGCGAGATGAATATTACTTTACAACCCCTTGCAGAGTCCTGGCTGACTAATGGTGGAAAGCAAGATGAAGAGGCCGTAAGTGATGATGGAGATGTGGTTCAAGAGGGTAGTGGCAGCGGTGATGGTCCAACTCATGTCAATTATCCACCTGATGATGAAGATGCATATGTCAGGGGAAATGCAAAAACAGACTCCAAAAAGCCAGCTGATGATTATGTGTACGATGATGATGAGGATGACTATCAGTTCAATCATCGAGGACGTGAAAATGTAGGATCTGGAAATTCATATAAAGACTATGATTATAGGTTTGAAGGTTCTGGTGGAGATTGGAATGGTATGGATGATGATCTTGAGGGATCTGGTGTTTATGGAAAAACTCATAACCCCAATCTCCATAACCCATCTCCATATGATCCATATGAGCCACCAAGCAAGCCACACCAGCCAACAGATCACAATGCTCCAAAAGACGAGTCGGACCAGCCTCCTTCTGCTGCTGCCAAAGAAACCATGTCCCTCAACCGTGCCATCACCATTTATATGTTGCCAGCTTTCATTATGTTCCTTGGGTCACTAGCCTAAGCCAATGAAAGTGTGAAGCTCAGTCCCTGGGCAATGGGTAAGCTAGTGAAGAATCTGAATCAGGGAGTGTCATTGATTTTAGAGCGGACTACGAGCACCATCAAGGTAATTTGGTGATGGGTGCCAGGGGTCACTGTTCTTGGTGGCTGTGGTGCCATGTTTGACAGTAATGTAGGCAGGTCGGGACAGAGGTCCAGAGTATATGTATCGACGCCTCAGTCTGATTATCAGAGAGGGAAGTCCATATCTCATGTTTAGAAAGACTTTATTATTGCACATTTAAGTGGAGTAACTGTAGCGTCAAGAAAGCAACTCATACATTTTGATATCCATGTCACAAATTTTTTTAGTTATTGAACAGTTAAGATATTCAGTTTTAAGGTGTATTAGAAGTTGTGGTAATCTGTGAACTGTTTTGAGAAGAAATGTGCACTCGTAAAATGAGTGAAGGAAATGAAATACAGTACAGTATATCAGTTGAAAAATCAAGATGCTCCTGTGAGAGGCATACCACTTTTGTTTTAAAGCAGTGTATTAAGAAGAGTGACAAAGGCAAGCATATAATTGACCAAGTATATTCTATTGGTCAGTACATTATTAAAAGTGGAGAATTATGATAATATTCCTTCCTGTGTTTGTTGTGAAAATCTGAAGTTTGTCTTTAATTTATCTTGGATTATTGGAAAAGTATAAAAGTGGAGTTCTCATTACATGCTGGAAAGAAGTATTATAGTTGGTAAAGCCACCATACAGGCCACAAGGAGGGAATGTCTACATCTTTATTGGTTAAAACTTGTGTCATGAGTCTGGATTTGTGTAGCATTACTCACTCAATTTTATTTATTAATGTACAGTAGTTATATTGAAGCTTGAAAGCTATATCTAATCACTTTTTTCTTTTTGGCTTTACTAATGCTACTATTTTATGGTAGTTTTGGTTAATTGGCTTGCAGCTTTCCTTAAAGGGCACAATCCCATTTCTTTTGTCTCTTTCCCAAAGGAAAAACTATAATTTAAAATTTAACAGTTATTATACGGAGCCTAAAATTCAGCTATTTGCATGCAATCCCCCTTTTGTTGCTGTGATAGGTGAGAATATCAAAAGTTATCCTGGTCTCTTAATCAAAACTAGGCCGTCCAGGCATAAAATCTGTTTGCTATTCCTTTATTTTATAAAGCTCTTTTTCCTTGCAATTTATTCAAAAAGTGTATGAACACCATCTTGGGATGAATGTGTCATGTATCATGCAATAATTTTGCTGTATATGTATCCTTTTACAAGAGTGAAGAAAGTATTGCTAAAATCATCTTGATCATTACATTTGTCATGTGTTATGTTTTGTCCACGTAAATGTGTCTTTCTTTCATCATTGTCATTGTGGGAAAGTGATTGTCTGTGGTATATGGTAATCATTATAATTGCATATAGTCATGTTTTGGATGCATAATGTAGCCCAACAAGTTGACCTCTTACCCTAGGTATTCTGCTACAGGTAGTAGAAGCATACAGCACAGACTGTTATTCTTGATGTTTGGCTGGTGGTGATTGCCTACATCACAGGCTGTTCTCCAGTGTTATACGTCTTGTATCACAAATGAATAGCGCAGGTTGATGCCCTAAATGTTCTCTAACTCTTACCAGAAGCACAGTGACATGTGCTGTTATATTAAGTGTTTTGCAGCTGGTATTGGCAGTAAAAAACAAAAAAAACAAAAACAGGCTGTAGTCTAGTTGACATGCTGCCAATACCGTATGTGTTCAAGGTATGCTGTTATATTCAGCATAATTTGGCAAGGAACAGCAATAAAACTGTGTACAATGTAAGGGAATATAAGAAAGACAGTCAGATATCATTGCCTCAGTGTAAAAGTCTCCCATCACAGTATGGGCTTTTATTTATTTATATATGATTTTATTTTATTTATTTATTTTTTCAGTAAAATCATTACATCTTGATAGTTTCGGTCTAGTTCAGTCTCACTAGATTTTCAATCTTGATGTTATAGACTTCTTTATTATTTGTAAGTGTGCACAGAGGCTGATCTCAAGAGCTTAGATATCTCTACCTCCTTATCATATCCGGATGGCCAAACAAAGTTTTCAATCAGGTTTTTACATACTGAATGCTTACAAGAGGATATTAAACCTTAGTTTCCAGTTTTTAGATTTACATCAAATTCGAATATGCAAAGACTGTGTAGGATAACCTGAGAACTACCATATCTTCATTAAGTCATAGTTAAGTGGTCTGATGGGTATCTTAAAATAGAGCATTAATAATTCATGCATCAAGTGTTCCCATTGCTCACAAGGGTATTAAATTATTAAAAAACAGAACTGGAGCATTCAGTATGGAGGAGCCAGGTACCTGTAACATTCCCATCAAGCAAACTGAAGAAAACGGCAATACAACACAAAGTGACTGAGGACTTGGAAATTTGTCCGTTCTAAAAAAAAAATATATATATATTGTCATGCATTGATGTAAGTTTTCGAATTACTGTATAGATGTTTGGTTTTTACCACTTCATTAATATGAGTTTTTATTGTTTATATGTAATTTTTATTTTAGAGAGAGTTTGTATGGTTATCAACCACTTGTCTGTCATTGAAATGTGTTATAGGGCCCACAAATAATAGGGTTACATTAATTGTTAACATTTTGATGCAGATACAGTACTCTGATTTAATTACATACAGGAATGCATCAGTTTAGTTTCTTAAGAAAATTCAATTATTTAATGCAGAATTCCCATATTTCGAACAATAGCATGATATGACTGAGGTGGTTTCAGCTTCAGGTTAGTATAAGATTTTTTCTTTGCACATGCAGTACCAGTATGTTATTCTGAAACCTCTCCCTTTATTTGTATTGATGTTCCTTTCTGATATTGTTTATTACACTTATTGGTATGAAATATTTGATATGGATATAAATATCATTTGATGAAGATCACATTCTTGATACTGTACTTGAGCAAGAACTTAAGACATTAATATTATAAATGTCACTTGATGGAGGATCCCATACATATACACATATGTACTGTATACATGAACATTATGTATTCATACAATGTACACTAAAAATACAGTATATTTACACATGTACAGTCAGCCAAAGATGCAACGACCACACCCTGGACCTTGTACTCGCAATTTTACCTGGCAATACTTGGTAAAGTAAGGCTGTATGTAATGGTGAGTGTTGGATCTATTTTTGGCTGTATCGCTGTCAGGATGAATATTAAACAATGCAAAGGTAGAATTTTTATACTAATAAACTATTCATTGTTATTTAAGATCATGAGAAGTTTCCAAATGTTCTTATGTTTGCTTAAATACTGAAGAAATTATATTAATGAATTGGCAACTCAACTACAAAGAGGACTGCCACAAGATTCTCAGATAAAATTTGCTTCAGTATTTAAGCAAACAAGAACATTTGGAAACTTCTCATGATCTTAAATAACAATGAATAGTTTATTATTATAAAAATTCTACCTTTGCATTGTTTAATATTTATCCTGACAGCGATACAGCCAAAAATAGATCCAACACTCACCATTACATACAGCCTTACTTTACCAAGTATTGCCAGGTAAAATTGCGAGTACAAGGTCCAGGGTGAGGTCGTTGCATCTTTGGCTGACTGTACATACAGTATATGGACATACATACGTACCTTAACACATACATTCATACATGTACACTTACACACATGTACAATTATAATTATATACACAAACGTACACAAACTCCAAAATGAGCACTACGACTCCTGTTGTTTCGGTAAGGTCAAAATCCTTTGACCAGTGTCATAATATGACCTTTACAATATTGCGTGAGACAATATTATTGTCTCACCAAATTGTAAAGGTACTTCTTGGAGTGTGTGTACACATGAATGCACAAACTTGTACACACACATACATAGATGTACACATGTGTGTATGTAAATATTTACTAATGCCAGGCAAATTTTATTCTTAAGTTATCCTAAATATCTGAAGGTAGATTTATAAAATATAAAAAGTTGGCAAGTAGAATATTACTGATTTGTAACAAAACCATTTGGATCGTAATGGTATACTCGGCTGTAGACAATCCTAATTTATCTTTTTCTAGCACAAATGTATAGTTGTTAATTCAACTAAAAAACCTGTACTTTGCATCAGTTTATTCACATGACTTTTTTACATTTTAAGTTTAACAAATTTATTGACAGCTTGGATTACAGTTTGCCTATTCAGAGTAATTCAGTCAGGTCTTGACACTGAGGGTGGTATCACTTCTCACTGCCATGCAGGACAGAGGTTCATACACAAAGAAATACATCATATTCATTAACAGCTATATGTATATAGGTCAGATTCATGTGGGTAATGTCACTGTTCACTGCCATACAGGACAGAGGTTCGTACACAAAGAAATGCATCATATTCATTGACAGTATATATAGGTCAGATAAATGTGGGTAATGTCACTGTTCACTGCCATGTAGGACAGAGGTTCATACACAAAGAAATACATCATATTCATTAGCAGTATATATAGGTCAGAGTCATGTGGGTGATGTTACTGTTTGCTGCCATGCAAGACAGTGGTTCATATACATTGGACGTCATATTCTAATTAAAAACTAATCAGTGTGGGCTAGCAAATTTGGGATAAACAGCAAGAATGTCCTCAAGCACCCCCGACTCAATGTAGTAATTACAAAGTTCATGATACAATAAACCAGGTGGCCTGATGTCTTTGACAGTGTCACATTCAAGTGTGTGCTTTAAAGGTTTATCACAAAGTTTACATGCTGAGTGTTCCGGTATGGGTGCAGCTTTACTAACTTGCCAGATGTGTCTGTATCCTTGCCTAATTCTGGCCATGACTGCATCACATTGTCTGGTTCTGTCCTTATGCTGGCCATACTGGTACCTCTCGTCACAAAATTTGTCATATTTACTAATGCTACAACTGCCAGGTGTGTCTGCATTTCTCAGTTCTTCTAGATGAGAGTTCATGATTCTGACTTGAATGTTTTTAAGTACAGCATTGGATAGGCCAAGGTCATGGTCAACATTTTCTTTCTTACATGCCTCATTGGCTAGCCTATCAGCATGGTCATGATACCTAATTCCAACATGGGACAGAATCCACACAAATTCGATACGAGAGTTGTTCTCATTGGTAGTTATCACATTTCTTTTCATATCACATACAACTTTAGACATAGAACCTGACGGGCTGTTCATTGATTTCAAAGCACTTGGAGAGTCACAGACTATCATCCCACCTCCATTTTCTTTGAGGTAGTCTGCAGCTAAGTAGATTCCAGTTAGTTCAGTTTGTGTTGTGCTGGCACAGTTGTTCAGCCTTTGCTTGTTTGACACTATCATCTCTTTTTCTTTATATATTACAATTGCACAGCCTGTTCTACCTGTGTTTGTCTGCACAGAACCATCAGTAAAAGTATAACATTCACTTGATTTAATACTCTATGTGTCTGTTAATAGTTTCTAGTGTGACACATCTCATCACATCGGTGCTTAACATTTGCTTACTACCAACAGGAGTGTAATTAATAGGAACCGATATGTCCAGCCAAGGAGGAATGGCATTAATGGGTTCGTCTGGGGTGATTGGGACATTCAGTTTCAAGAGATCTGCAACACTTTTACGAAGCCATGCCCCAAAGAGAGTCTTTTGTGGAAGGTTAGCAAGATTGTCAGGATTACTTAGATAGAACATCATCTTAGTTTGAGCTGTAGTTTGGGGACCATTGTTCTTCAAAACTTTGACACAAAACATGGTATTAAGTAGAGCTATCCTCTCAGATAGGGAGGGCAGTCCGAGCTCTTTCCTCATGTTTACAATTCTGGTTGATTTTGGGCAACCTAGAATGATGCGCATGGCTACATTTTGCACTACCTCAAGGCTGTTGAGTTGTTTAGGCAGAATAGTCACAAGATGGAGAGCATGATAGTCAACTACAGAACGAATGAAGTGAAGATAGAAAGTATGAGCATAGGTGATAATTCCATAGCCCTTGCCAACAAAGGTTCTGAGGAGTTTAATGCGCTGCATTAGTTTGGCACGAAGGTTGCCGACAAAGTTTCTATCATTCACACAAATTCCAAGGTATTTATAGGAGCTACATAGTTCCAAGGGCATGCTGTTAATGTTAAAGTCAAGAGGCAGAGGGTGAGCAGGACGAGGATTGAGGATCCACCCTCGTCTTGTCAAGATATTATGAGACCACATTCCACAGTCCTCCGAACAAATACATCCAGCAAGGCTTGGAGCCTGAGCTTGGTCTGTGCCATAATGCCAATATCATCAGCATAGCATATTACAGCCTTGTTTGGCTGAACTGGAATGTCAGCAATAAGCTTGTGCATCAGTATATTAAAGAGCATAGGACTTAACACTCCTCCCTGAGGCGTGCCGAGCTCAAATGATCTTATTCTGGCACTATTAACTCCCCTAAACAGAACACTGGCTTACTTGTTGGACAGTTAACCCTTTATCCATGTCAGGAGGTTACCTTGGATGCCAAAATCAGCTAGTTGCCCAAGTATAATGTCTATTAGCTACATCAAAGGTTGATTTGAGGTCTATGAAGGCCATTTGTGTCTTATATTTTGAATGAACAAGATATTCTGCAAAGCATGTCCGTGTGCTATGCCTGGGCATGAACCCATACAGATTAGGGGCCAGTTTGTCTTTGACTTGAAACATGAGATGGTTGAGAACAATTCTTTCAAGGATTTTACACATGCAGGATGTGAGTGAAATTGGCCTGAAGTTTGGAGAGTTAGCTTTAGGGATTGGTACTATGTTTCCATGAGTCCATGTCTTAGGCAGATTACCCTGTGTGAGGCTCATTTGATACAGGTCAAGCATGGATGGCTAGGAATCTCATTTAACAATCTCAGGGTGTTTTAGGTTATGTCATCCTCACCAGGGGAGGATGATTCAACTTTTATTCGTGCTGTTGTTAGTTCGTGGTGCGTTACAGGAAACTGGTAAGTAAGGTATGTTGAACAGGCTATTCCAGTATTGAAACCCCCAATTAATGTATGTGGTTTTAAGATATTGCTGTATGTCAGGAGGCAGTGAAGTGATTTGTGACACACTAGACCATTGGTCTAATAGCATGTCAGCATATTCTGCAGGGCTGTGATGAAGTTGGACTGGGGTGGGTGATTTGGTTATGGCTCTAATCTTGTTCCACACTTCTGCTAGAGTGGTTGTTCTATTAATCCCCTGTAAGAATTGTTCCCAATAGGTGTTTTTCACCTGACGAAATTCTCTGTTAGCTTTGAGGAATGCCAGGAGGTTATTACTAGTTTTATTTTGCTTATAAGTGTTGGCAAGCTGTTTACCTTCTCTCCTTCTTTGGTGAAGATGGGGTCATGTGTCCACAGAGGTGGTTTAGTGCTGCCCTCCTTCCTCCTTGACTCAACCCAGGT